GAGCAGTCTCTAGTCCAGCTCGCTTTCAAAAATAGAAATAGGCCCACCCACCCTAAGACCCATAACATTAGAAGATAGAAACTTTTTTTCTTAAAGACACGCCGGGGGGCTGATTTGAACATGTGGGGAGGTTAACAAAATTGGGGGGGGACACTAGCACATGGTTGGGGGCCAAAATAGCACTTCCCCATTCTTATCTCTCAATGAGCATCAACCTTTCAGCAGAAGCTAATCTTTATAAGATATGCTATTAAGCGAAACCCCAACAACACAACACCATTACTCTTTAAGAGTAAGCCCCCGTTGCAGATACTTGTTTCCCATGCCCGGCGGCTGCCGTGACCTGCAGCTCTGCATCCGCATCGGGGGCGTGACCTGCGAACTCCAGCAGCTGGGCAGCTAATCCGTTTGGTGCTTTGAGGATTGTAACGAAGCATTTTTTGCAAGCTTTCTTTGTGGCGACGGTATCAGTGCTCCTTTCGCTGAAACCGCATCACAGCGCTGCCTTGTGGAGCTCTTCCCTGGAGAGGCATGTGGAGATCCACTCAGCACCTGTCATGTGTTCGAGAGAGCACTGGCAGTGACAATGTGTCCCCGGTCCCCCACCAAGCGCTTTCTGGAATTCCCTGCAAATGGGTGGGGGGGTGTCGTTGATCGAGCATGAACGAGCCTCGGGCAGACCATGGTCATCGGGACAGTCCCGGTACATTTCGCGAGAATGGCCGTTTCGCATCAACTTGCGTCCAAGATCCTCGACACCAACATTCCCAGTGAATTCTCAATGTTCCCCTCAAGCGAAATCTGCTCCTCCTTTTGTCATCTGTCACCTGCGTGCGCTCTGCATGACGGTGGTGCAGCCTGCATCGGCACAAGGCACCTCCGCCGGAGGCACATTTACGAGTAGAGGGTAGTGAGCACATTCTGTAGCAACCTTTAGTAGTAACTTTAGTGCTTTAGCAGCTGGAGAGCGCGGAAGCATAGTTGTGCCGGAGTGAGGCTTAACGTCCCCGGCATGATCTATGTCAAGGACCGCCAACACAGCCCAGATGCTGAAGAAGCCTGTTGACATCTGTTGACGTTACAGCCTGAGGAGAGTGGTCGGAACCGGATTGAGCGAGATCTCGCGGCAGCGGTCGCACACACAGGCACCGAGGCTGTGAGGAGGGCCCTGAACACTCTGAACTCTATCAAGGACTTGGCAGCTTTGCGAGTTCTTTCAGTGGATGTGCACGTGCTGTCTAGGCTGAGTCTAGACGCGAGAGGACCATTTGGGTCAAGATGACCATGAGCTGAAGGCAGCATTTGGAACATGCGGCTGCTTCTTGTCCTTTTTTCTCTGCCTTCAAAACACAGCGTCAGGGCCGTCAGGTTTCACTCGTCTTGACCATGTGTTGACAGTTGCGGCTGATTGCAATATGTGTGCTTCTATTCACGCCGAGCGTGCAAGATGCAGGCAAGCTTCGGAATGTCGTGAGCTGTGTTGATGTTTGTTGGGTGGTGGCGCAAAGTGACATGGCTGAGTTTCCGGACTTGCACCAGTGAGTTTTCGATCACTTGAACAAGCCAACTTTCTAGCCATTGTCAGCACATCCGACATATGGTCGTGACAGCAGGCCATCTTGAACAGCAAGGAGAAACCCTTGCTGCTCAAGGCAGCCGAGGCTGGCAATGCCGAGCTCATGATCCTCGGGTGCACCGCATGTCAGGGCACTGCACCGTCCGGCTTAGAGCGGATTCTCACCACTGGGCATGATGCAAGGAGCGTCTTCTTGCGATATGGTGCAGATATCGACATCAAGGACGCAGCCTCCGGCCAGACCGCCTTGCACAAGGCTTGGAGAATCTCTGGGACGGTGAGCGTGTAGTAACCTGTGGTCCCGCGGTTCCCTGTGGTGTAGATGTTGAGCGGCGTCATTTCCCGGCGTGGCAGAGCCAGCAGGTGATGGAAGGTGGATACGAACGAGCAATGTGGCTGCTGCTGGAAAATGGGGCAGACTGGAATGTGACGGATAAGGACGGCATTGCCCCCCTTATGGAAGGCAGCTTGCCGGCGATCTGGAAGCTGGACCTGATTGCACCTCTGTGGTTGTGCCCCTGTATTGTGCCATGGTAGCTACAGATTTTCTGGTTTGGCTGCTTGGTATAGTGGAGTGGGAGTCTAACCATCAGCCCTCTTCCAGCAGGGGTACAAAATGGGCCCTGAACCTTGAGCCCTTGAGCCAAACCTTGGACAGAACTGCGAATTGACACCCTGAGGCCTTCTACGGCTTCGCAGCGAACCGGACAACGAGTACCTGGGCCGGGCGGTGTGCATCCTCTCGCAGGCGCGCCAATGCGACAAAAGTATGGTTTGCTAGCCGCCCGGTGCACACGTAAGCACCGAGACCCACTCAGAACCTCTCAGGACTTTCGTGCAAAGGTGAGTGATCAAGTAAACGTATACCTTAAACACATGAATGTATGTTTGCATGCGTAGACACAGAAATTGATAGAGAGCTCGCTATATAGGTAGCCAGACAGACAGATAGAGGGATAGATAGCTAAACGCGCAGGCAGGGACAGACAGACAGGCAGGCAGACAGACAGACAGACCGATTGATAGACAGATGGATAAATAGATAGATGGATAAATAGATAGGTAAGAAGATAGATATATAGATAGGTAGATCTTTCTGCACAAATCTGCGGTTTTGCATTTGCTTCTCCCAGTTTCCTGAATTGCGTGTGTCCGAGAGGCACATGCATACACAAGTATTTCTGCATTTATTCTTGTCTAAGATGTGCATCTAGGTACATGCGACTGCCATCATGGTATTGAGCAATTCCGTTATCTGCACTTGGCCTTCCCTGCTTGAGCTTGCGGTGGGGGCGAGGCAGTCAATTTTTCCGAGGTCCAAAAGCCTCCCTGCAGGTGACGAAGATAGACTATGTGAGAAAAATCCGAAGCCAGCTGAAGCAAGCGGTGAAGAAAAGGCTTAAGCAAAGCACAGAGCTGCCAGCGCATCTTGGCAGCTGATTCAGGAACAGTTTTTTTTTTGTTGTTTTTTGCGTGGTGCTGTTGACTGCACACGCTGCAAAAATAAATCGCTTTCGACAAGCTCAACACGATGGAGAAGCCCGGAAAGTTCGTAGCAAATCTCAGCCAGCAGCGCCGAGCTTCAGAGCACAAGCTAGCTTGGATGTGCACTTCGGTGAGAGCCAGGTTCCCGATGTTAGGATGCAACAGCGCAGGGTCTCCCAAGCGAAGTTCTAAGGCACTGCCAAGATGGCGATGTGCGCAAAGTGCGAGAGTTGCTGAACAGCTATGCAGACGCCGACTCCCGGGGGGCTGACAACGCCGGCGCCTTAGACAGAGCGAGACTTCGAACATCTCGCTGCGTGTCCTTTGTCGACGAGTGCCTCTGTGTTTTTGTTTGGTGTCCTTGTATGTTGCAGGCATAGAATGGCATAGAAGTGGAAAGCAGATCTGCAAGTACATGTGTGCATACATACATATGCGAATGATTCACAAAAACACATACACATACTACTAAGCATGCTTCATGTCTTCGCAAGGTTCAAGGTTTGAAGAACTTCACAGCTCTGGGTTTCCGTTGTCATGCCTGCTGCACGAAGTCTTTGTCCTCACAAGCTCAGCTCAGGAACGCGGACTCCACAAAGCTTTGTCACCCGTCGGAGGTGTCCGGAATTTCACCCCGGGGCACCTGCAGATTTGCGAGCTGCTCCTGCAATTCAGTGCAGACTGCAAGAAAGAAGACAACTTTGGGGCTACACCTCTTGCCCTCGCGGCCCGGCTCGGATCTACTGAAGTCATGAGTTTGCTTCAGCAACACGGAGCCACGGTGGAGTCTGTACGGGCAGAGGACTGTCAGTGACTAGCGAGACGGTGGCATGACACGTCTGGATCTCCCAACCGGTGCCTCTGTCGAACAAGAAAGAGGATGGAAGAGGCATCATTGGAGACTCAGTCAGTTGCCTGCAGGATCTGGAAGCGCTGGTGTCGGAAGTGGGTGACGAGGTGGGCACGGCCAGTGATGGGATCTGCGGTCTACAAACTGGAGAGTCGCATGGAAGGGGAACTTATGCATGTAAATGTCTTCACCGACCGATTTCTGGGTGGACTGCCACAAACTGCAAGGATTTTGTACAGACGACCTTGTGTCTCGACTGTAGAGTACAGTAGCTGCTGGAAGCCGTTCGAAAGTTGTATGCACCCTGGCAGGATGCGGAAGCTGCTCTGGAATGGCTTCGAGACGCCGGTTGCGATTTCACAGCCTCAACCAGAAATGAAGGCGAGCTTCCCACCTTCGTTGCTGCCCGCCGTGGCAATACCAGACTTTTGCAGGTTCTCGAAGATGCTGGTTGCGACATGGGCTGGCGCAATCGCAGCGGGGACTCGGCCATCGTGGCCGCCGCCAGGGCAGGCCAGACAGGTGCCGCCAGGCGAGGGTTGCGACGAAGCTATTAGGGCTACAGCACATCAAAGAAATCGACTCTAGAAGGTCAGTCCAGAATCCGCTCAGGTGGTTTCTCGAGGCAGGCTCCATAGATGCTGTGGACTTACAGCGTGCCCGGTATGCAGCCAGCAAGCTCGACAAACCCGACGAAATGCTTGAGCTGATCGAGACGAAGTGGCGGGCGGAACGCCGTGGGCCGCTCAATCTGCAGAACCTGTCACTGCTGGATCGGCCAGGGGTGCCGAAGGGGTCCGATTTTGAGAAGATCATGCTCACTGCGGCAGCCAAGCAAAACTCCAAGAACAGCGGCGCCTTTTACTTCGAAGTGCAACTTCTAAGCAAAATTGAGAGGATCAATGTTGGCTGGGCCACCACGGCATACCAACGAAGCAGGGATCTCGGCTTTGACGCGGAAAGTTGGTGCTGGCAGAGCCAAGACGGCAGGACAATGTTTCAACTGCATGCTGCCGAGGGCCCTGAGGCTGGAAGTGGGATCCCGCGCTACAGCAGTGTCTCTAGACACCTTCAAGCGAAGGGCTGTTTCTGAGGCTAGCAAGACTCCACGCGTTGTTCCTTTCCACTTCCTCTCTGCCTCCATGGGGTTGCGTAGCAGGATTGCCATGCCCAAACGCACGAAAGCACTGTGCCCTGAGGTGGCGCTGCCGTCGTGGGAGCCAGGAGATGTTCTGGGTTTGGCCTTGGATTTCGCCGCCGGCAAGATGCGGCTTTCACATCAGGGCAAGTGGCAGGCAGAGACTGAGGTGCTTTGGCCTCAAGCCAGCTAGAAGATATTCCGTACGAGATTCCTGTCAAGTCGTTAAGGGAAGGATTGTAGGAGAGTCCAAGTGACATCCGGGGACCAGCCAGTGCAAGACCGGGATGCAGCACTGGGTGGCACACGGATGCACGACAGTGACATGAACAGTCAAAGCTGACATGATAGTGCTTGTCGCATGGTTGGAAGGCCGGCTATTTCATGGACTTCCAGCCGAATGGCCGAGATTTGTGCCCAGGGTGGGTAAACTCCGCAGGGCTTTTGACAAAGCTCCGAATGAAAAAGCCAACTCGCACCTTACGAGCTTTGAGAGGTACCCAGCTGTCACTGCAAAGTGGGGCCTGTTCCGACTACGCCTTGGCAAGGAGGCATTCGGCAACTTAGGGTTCTGACTGAATCTTACAAAGCTGAGAACTGCGCGTGCCTCTTTGTTCGTCCTCGCAAGACGGGAGGAAAACGAAAACACAACACGCCTACCTTAGATTTGGGGGGAAGCCTCGGGATCGCGCCAGACCTGGATTTTCGGACCTCCGAAAGACGGCCCCAAAGAGGGCTACGAGCCCTGGGCATCTGGAGTCGGAGAGTGGGCCAATGAGGCGACCTTGCTGAAGTTAGGTGTGTCCAAGTACACGGATGTAAAAAAAATTATATCGATAGATAGGTAGATATTTAGGTAGGTAGATAGATCGATAGATAGTTAGTGATTCTCCGTGTGAACCCCCATGCAGAGCTAGGGTGCACGTGTCGCTCTTGTTTGCAAGTTGATGAGCCTCGAATGTTAAAACTCTTGGCAATTCAGGAAAAACCTTTAAGCTTTCATCAGATTGTGGGCACACTTTCCAGGCTACGTTTGGCGACCGCAGCTGGGGCTTTGACATGCAGCTCAGTGGGAGGAGGCCGCGGCTTCTAGGGCTCGAGGCCCTCGGCTGCGAAGTCCCAAAATCCATCAGCGACTTCTTCGCAGCCGGCCTCCCGGAACTCTCCCGAGCTTCCGGGAAGTTCTACTATGAGCTGCGCCTGCTGAGCCGCCCAGAGAGTCCTCGGGTTGGCTGGGCCACGGAAGATTTTCATGGTGGTGCCATAGGAGACGATCCGGAGAGCTTTGCCTTCGAGGGATGGCGGATGATGAAGTGGAATGCCGGCGAGAGGTCGCAGGCAGCCTGACTGACAGCACTAACCAGTACTAACTCTATGCATCGCACATTCAATTCCTCCCCCAGCTAAGGGTAATGTGACAATCGTGATAAGCCGTGAAATGCACACAGCTGCATACACGATAGTTGACTGGGCGCGTGGTTGCTGCAATAAGTGACCGAATGGCAGAACAGGTCAAGTAGCTTCTTAACTTTGAAAGGCGTACACCAAGCATGAAGAGAGAGTTGGGACCACGGGAGGGATGCAGAATTTGCTCCAAACACATGTAAATGCCCCGAGGCAAGCTTGGAGCCATGGAGCCAAGGACACATCCCGGTTTCCAGCAATGACTTTGCAGCAAAGATCTGCTCATTGTCACTCCTTTTGTCCCCAATGAGGACATACGTACCATCTAAGCTTGTCTGGTCTTCTTGTTGTAGTGGTATATAGTTTACCGTAGTCAATATTGCCAACCATCATTGCGTGCATTACATGTCGTGATGATCATGATGTTGGTGCTGGTGGCTGTGGTAGTGGTGGTGGTGCTCGTGCATTGTGATGCACGTCGTGCTCTGACGAAAAGCTATTGATGCAGCATGCAGGGGTAGACTGGGTGAAGTATGCCGCCCGAGGCCCAGTTTGATGACTGTTCTGACGCCAGAAAGAAGGCTGTCATCGCGACTGCATCACCATTATCCGAGAAATACCCCTTTCATGCTGACCGCCCATTTGTGATCTCCCATCTTCAGCACGATTTTGGCTCAAGCCATTTTGGCTCAAGCCGGCTCAAACTCACAAC